GATGAAGGATGCCATTTTACGCTTTTCCCTTGAAAGGGCTCTGTGGCGGCCTCAGACCTGCCGTGAGAGAGGATGTGGAGGCCCAGCTGTCCAGATGCCCGGGGACAGCGAGGAAGCCAGGGGGCCACTTAGCGCACGATGCCTGCCTTTTTCTTTTGGACAACTTAAACACTTAGGTTTATTATAAACTTCCCGAATCACTTCACTCTTTGGTGAGTAATGTCCATGAAAAGGATCATTTATCTTCTATTTACTGAGTGACAACGAAGGGGCAGGGGCTGGCGAGGCAGAGAAAAGGGCAGCGCAGAGAAAGCTGCCATCTTCCGAACCTATCTTTTCCCGGGATTCCGCCTGCTGGATGGAGACAGGGAAGGCTCTGGGCTGGCGCTGCGGATTCAAGGGGGAGGGACACGCCAGAACACTCGGGCGGCGGCGGATACAGAGGAGCTGCCCCGCCCCTCACTGGCCCGGCATATGCGGGCACCTCACTCAACCTCTCTGACTCTCGCTTCCTCATCAGTAAAAGGAGGCTAACGATGGCAGCTCCTCTACTGGGTTGACGTGGGGTTAAGAGATTTAATATATACAACAGGCTTTCCACCCCTGACACGGGATCAAGTCCTCAATCAAATAGTATTCATATCAAAGTGAATCTTTCTGGCCCATCTGATCACACAGCCCAGCTCAGGGGAAGTGAATGTTATCTGAAGTTTCCACAGCGCTGGGGATCACTGTTTGCAATTAGCTTCCCCACCAATTTCTGCCATTTGGGCAGAAAGCCCCGAGGGAGAGCCTCTCTCGGTGATGCAGGGCAAGCTTTGCAGGCACACAGGTGTCTTCTGGCCCCGTACTCACGGTCATACTCCTGTATTCATCTTCAAACATGTCCAAAAAAATTTCTTCTCCCTAAAATGAAATGAAGAGAGGGAAGAGAAGATTATGCATATTTTTTCCCCCATACACAACAAAGTATTATAAAACTCCAGTTCATGGCTTTTGGGGCCATCTGTTTCTCATTAGCAAGTTCTCGTAAATCACCAGGAAGTAAAATATACACGTGAACATGAACACACACGCTCAAACGAAAGCCCAGGTATCAAATTGCACCTCTTAATATTTTTCTCCCTTTTTTAAGCATATGTAGTTAGATTTCTTCTGTCAAGGCAGTTAATTAAAAAACGCAAACCAAAAATAACCCCATATATCCTTAAAATATTAAAATGGTTAATATCTCAAGTGTTTAACATCCTCTATTTGTCAAGAACGGTTGGAGAAATAGGGAATCCTGGTTAAGCTGCCATGTCAGAACGACAAGGCTCCACATCTCTGAAAGGAATAGTATAATTAAATATACTTAACATTAAAATTAAACGGCTTGTTCCATTTGTTTTTGAGCTGTGCCCTTGGGGTTTTGTAGTTCCTGCAGCCCTGAGGACTCTGCCCAGGAGGTCCCTCTCAGAACAGGGTGGTGGGGATGAACTTGGCTCCAAGACACATAAACTGGGGGCCAAATCCAACTGCCTCTTGGAGCCTCTTTGTTTCGCTGCAAGGCTGGGATGACAGCCCATGTCTGCGTGGGTCCTTGTGAAGATGAAATGAGTGAACATGCACAAAGTGCTGAGCATAGAGGCTGCCAATCGGTCAGGGCTGGTAAGTGTTAGCGCTCACGGTCATGATGATCACAGCTGGAAAGGACCACAGCTGGGGAGGGGAGTCAGCTGAATGCATCATGACTGTAAGAACTGTCCTGACTCTCACACACGTGCGCACACACGTGCACACACACGTGCCCATGCGTATACACACACACACACACACACACACATGCTCAGGTTGGGAAAAGCAACAGGTCTTTTATATATTTTTCTAGTTATCAGAACTACAGATAAATTTGCATATTCTTGTGTGGTGTATAACCACAGAAATAACCCCTGAAAAGCCAAAGGCTTCTGAGATATTATATTACATTTAGGGTGTAAATCTTACAGAGTAAAAGAGAAAAATCGGGGTTGGGAGAAAGGAGCTGCAACCCAAATACAACAAGTCCTTACTTAACGTCGTCGACAGGTTCTTAGAAACTTCCACTTTAAGTGAGACGACATAGAACAAAATCAAATTTAGTATAGACTCATTGATACAAACAAGAGTTAAGCTACTACTGTATATTTCTGGTCACAAAAACATCATCCAACTTCTAAATAAAGACTTAAAACACTTCTCTTATTAAATATTGAAATAAGTGTGAGCTATTGATACATTTAAGAAAGATTAATAATAATAATAAGGGCCGGCCGAGTGGCTCAGTTGGTTAAGAGCTCGCTCAAGAGTTTGAGTTCTGAGCAACAGCGGTTCGAGTCCAGCCCGAGCTGAGCAGCCGCTGAGCTGCCAATAGGTAGCAGGATGGCTCAGCTAAAAAAAAAAATTAAAAAAAAATTGTCTGAATTTCCTAAGAAAGATTAATAAAAACAAGTAAGATCATTCTTTTCCAACCGCTTATTCCAGGTCAGGGTTGCAGGGGGCTGGAGCTTGTCCTGGTGGCTCAGGGTGCAAGGCGGAACCCACCCAGGACAAGACACCCTTTCCTCAGAGCCACTCACACCACAGCCACACGCACTCAGACTGGGACAATTTAGGCACCCCAATCCATCTCACGTGCACATCTTTGGGATGTGGGAGGGAACTGGAGTCCTCAGAGAAAACCCACACAGACGCGGGAAAAACGTGCAAACTCCACATGGACTACTGTCCAGGATGGGAATCCATTTTTTTTTTTTGCCTCATCAACGTTCTAGTGAAATGACATTGAACAAAACAATGCTTTGTGAGGACCTGCTGCATAGCTCTCCTTTTGTTAATGATAAAATAAAAAACCCTCTGGGAAAATGCCTACTAATGTGTCCTTCTGTTTTTGCAATCCAAAAGCTTTCTAAGGGGGGAAATACACCAGATCCAAAGATGACTCATGCAATGGTGAGGTTTCTGCTTCCTCGGGGCTTAGCTAGAGGACCTGTATCCTCACTTGGAGGCCATGCATGATTCGGGATGGTCTAACATGGGGGCTAACATGGGATGGTCTAACATGGACGACGGTGGCACCATCGTCTGGGCACGGCCCCCGTGTTGCTGTTGCACGGGGCCATCTGACCCTGGAGAGGTGGACTGCCAGATTACGTGACCTGGTTTTACCTCAACAAACACTGACGGTGGTTTAAAGAGCTTCCTGCAAAGAAAAGGATTCCTTGCATCTGTGTATATAATTCACAGCAGTTTAGAGAGAACATAAAAAATGAAGCACAGATGAACAAGAAAATGGCAACACGGACACCTTCCCTCCTCCTAAGAGGGTCTCTTCATCGGCCAAATTACAAGGACAAACCATCACTACCAGGATCTGGAGAGATCTGATGTGGAGGCCAAAAAATAAAAAATCTGCTAGGAGGGTTTGACATATGGATCGATCCACTATTGCTGACGAATGCTGAGACTTGCCTAAGAATATATAATGTCTTAAGGTAAGACCTAAACAAAGGCATCACAATGAGACACTTTAATACAAGTCATCTGGAACCTGAAGCCAAATCTGCTAATTTTTCAGGTCCTGGAAAGTCATGGTGGTCCTTGACAAAATCTCCCTAAACTTAATGATAAATGTTTGGAAGCCTTAGCATACATGCATATAAGTAATATACATGTAAACAATTCATAAACTCATATGTAATTCAAAAATATAATTGACTCTTGAACAACTAAGATTTAAACTGTGAGCATCCATATATACGCAGATTTTTTTCAATAAATACCTGTACTGTTTTCGGCCTGAGGCAGCGAATCTGAGGATGCAGAGGCCGACTGTATGCATTTATCTGCACAATTTTACATATGGGACTTGGGCATCTGCAGATTTGGGTATCTGTGTGTGTGTGTTGGGGGGCGACGGTCCTAGAACCAATCCCCGCAGATAGCAAAGGTATTTAAGTTTTGGGGGAGTCCAAAGGTATGCGCAGGGGGATAGGTGCCCCAACCCCCTGTGTGGTTCAGTGGTCAACTGTAATTTTATTGTATAAGCAATATATAGTTCATGAACACATAAGTTCACATGTATAGTTTAGTCGTGTGTGCATATGTGTATGTAATTCATAGTTTACATGTGAACGTCAATAAATGAGTTCCTATCTAATTGGTAAGTAAGCTGTCACTTCCTAGGGGGTGAGGCCTCAAAAGCTGTACTGAGCAGAGCAGGGGCAGAGGAGCTGAGGGTCCACTGCTCTCTCCAGAGATTGAGATTCAGCGTTTTCCCTCAAGCACCACAGGCAGAAAAACAACCCAGGACATGTAACTTATACGTGAACAGGACCGGACACTCACTACTGCCCTGCTAACAGGCTGCACACCACCCTGCTGTCCCCGGGCGCAGCCAGCTTACCTTATAAAAGTGCCGCACCAGGTGGACGCTTTCTTCTCTGGCGCCCTGTTAAAAGACAGGGAAGGCGTGAGGGAGGCGGGGCTCATGCAGGCAGGTGGGTGGGGTAGATTCCCGATTCTAAAACCTGAGGGTGCGTATATGTGACAGTTGTCGGACTAATATCCTTAATCTATAAAGTGGTGGATAGAACACTCAAAATAAAAAATGGGCAGAGGACAGGTGATTCAATGTGACGACATGGGAAGTTCTTATTTCACAGTTAAGTGGGGGACGGGGGGAATGGGTTATAAAATATGGCCATGATGGCTCAGTTTTTATTTTTAAAAATGTGCGTGAGTGCATGTGTATACCTGGAAAGACACACACCAAAGTGCTAACCACAGTTGTTACTTTTGACAACTGTACTTTCTAAATTTTCTAAAATAAACATGGAAAATAAGGGGGAAGACAATGAAAGCTATTTAAAACAATAAATGTAGATATTAGCACAATAAACTACAAATCAATGTGTGTACGAGTCTGTATGTGTATAAAACTTTTGTAATGCAAAAACAACAACAAAAGAATGAAAACCTGGAGACAAGTAGGGCCAAGTCATTGTAACAGGAACGGCTACAATTCAGTGACAGTGGGCTCAACGGGCCAGTCCCAGAGGAAGGGAAGGTGTGCAGGGATAAGCTTCTTGTTGCTGGTGTTGTGGGCACCACGGACGGGGGCTCCAGGCTGGATCCAGAGGCCTTCCCGGCCCCCCACTTCCTCCATGTTCCTCAGGGCCCTCAGGGAGTGCGGCGGCAGTGGGGCCCTCACCTCCAGGCAGGCCAGGTGCACGTCTTTGATGATGCAGCCCGCGCCGGTCACCACCTGCTGCTTCAGAAGCAGGCAGCTCAGTTCCAGAGTGGCCAGCCGGATCTTCCCGTCTGCAGAGCACATGAGTCAGCCTCACACGCGCAGGGCTACGGGCCGTAAACACAGCCTCCACCTTTCTGACTTTTAGCTTAATAGGTCAGCTGATCGGCCGACGGTTCAAGGCCCCTGACATCCAGTGGGGACAGTGAGGGAACCCTACGTGCCAACCCCTTTTCCCAATTAGTTACAATGAAGTGTCCCCATATGCACACGCCGAATACTCCCCTGCAGTGGCTTCACTGGGAGCAGGGACGCAGGAAAAAGAGGGCAGCTAGTCATTATCACTGAAGGCCTAGACAGGGGCCGTCTGTGGGTGCTTTGCTTGCCTAGCACTCCTTCCCCTTCTTTAGGGACGAGCACCCCCCATTTCCTCTGGAGAACCACAAGCCCCACCACTGGACATGTGACTTGGGAGAAGCTGATCCCGTACCCCCATGCTAATGGTGGGCACAGCACCCAGGCTGCTTGGGGTGCTCTAGCCCTGTCAGTGATCGGGATGGGGACTGGCAAGGGAGCTAACCGAGGCCAGTAAGGCTCAATTCTCCAACTTGCTGGAGCCACTGGACAACAGAACCTCTCCTCGTGCTGGGCTGTGGAGAGGAACAGCGGTGGGGCCTGAGTGGCACGAGCATTATATCCACCATGGCCACTTCCCCACCCTCGCCAGCATTTTCAGTCTTTTGTCAAGTGTTGCAAACTGAGCCCTGAGCCTCCCTTGCCACCCGACTGCCCAAGTGACTCTCCTGCAGCACGTCGAGGGCCCCAACCGGGAAGGGGATGGCTGGCACTGCTGGCAGCTCTCCTGCCAAGACAGAAGGCCTCAGAGTCCAAAGACAGACTTGAAAATAGTTGTTTGAGCCCCTGGATGCAGCTGTGCCTGAAGCCAAGGCCCAACAGACTTAACGTTACACAAGCCAACGGCTTTGTCTGTTTCTCTTTGTATTGTTTTAGTCAGTCTGGGTTGGGTTTCTGTTGATTGTAACCAAGTTCTGGGTGACATGCTATCCTACTGTGCTCCGAGCACTGTCTGGGAGTTTTACAGTTGCTGCCTCAAGGAGTCCCTATAAAAACCCATTGCCATGGGTGTTCTAAAGACTGAGGTTTAGAAGAGCGAAGTGACTTGTCCGAAGTCTCGCCCTGGACAGTGGTGGACTCCAGGTGGCACGAATGCCAAAACCCACATCTGACATCACTCCTGGAAGCATCTGTGACTGCCCAACCAAAGGGCAACCTGAACGAATGCAAACTCCTCCCTGGGTCTTTAAGTTCACTTCTGGGGAGAGGTCCCAATGTGGAAGAGGGGTCAGGGGAGGAGCAAGTCCCCAGGCCACATCCCGCAGGCATTGGAAATGTCAGGGACCCAGGTGGGCCACTGGGAAAAGCTCAAGGCACACGGAGCACAGCACACCTCCGTCCCCGCCTGTCCTTCAAGGCCTCATGTGTCAGGTGGGGAACAGATGGGAAGCGGGAAGCATTTGGTCAAAAATGAGCAGGCTGTTGCAAGCAGAAACAGGCCTCTATTACCATGATACAAGCCCAGGGGCCCCATGGGAAAAGGCTGGTTAGTCTCAGCTCAATCACTGTCCTGCCCCAGCCCTACCCAGCCCAGGCCCACCCCCACTTCCGAGCTGCTGCCCTGCCCCAGGGCACCCACGGCCCCCGCTCCTCCCAGTTCAGCAGTCCTCCGGAGTGCAGTCTCACTCCTGCCCCCCCCCCCCCCCCCCCCCCCCCCCCCCCCCCCCCCCCCCGCGGAGCCACACTGTCACCCAGGTCAGAAACACCCCTTCTGCTGCCTCCAGGGACATGAAACATGACTTTCCACCAAAACCTTTTCCCTTTGCAAGTTCCTGCTAAGGAGCTGGCTTCCTCCCACTGGGCTTGTCTCTTGAGGAAAACGGAGAGGCAGCAAGCTCCTTAATCCTCATGGCAGCTTCCAGACTGTTCCTCTGAGCTGCCCCAACCTCTTCTCTTCAGAAATCCAGGCTGTTCTATACACCAGCCCTCACTGGGCCCGCCGTCCCGCCCACGCTGGAGGTTCCTCTCCCAACATCCAGGCCACAATCCACCTTCCTCCGTCACGGAGCCATGTCCGCTCACACAGCTCCTGCCAACTGCCCTCTTGGCCACCGCCCTTGGGAGACAGAGTTGCCCCAGTTGAGAACCCCTGTGCTAGATCACCCTACCTCTTTCTAACCCTTGCTGTGGCTGTGGACCACTGTTGGCTAAAACTTCAGAACTAGGCTGACAAGGCCAGACACCGGGTGTACCTTGTATTATCAAAAGCTTCTGGCCCAAAAACCTTCCCACCGTTCCCCTCACTCACTCTCCCAGCCTAGTTCAAGCTCAAATGTAGCCTTGGGCCACCCTGCACGGAGGAGAGCAGACATTGGCAAACCTGGCAAAAGAGGTGCTGGGAATGGGAAGACGAGGAAGACAGACAGGGAAGGAAGGAGAGGAGGCCCAGGATGAAGGAAGACATGGCAGGACAGGAGGGCATGGTTAGCCCCAGGCACAGGCATGTGTGGCAGAGGGAGTGGCCAAGATCCGCCTGGATCCCCGGAAGGGCCAGGTCTGGGGCCCAGGGCTCCGGGCGCCCCCTAACTGCACCACCCCTGTGAACAGCCAACACGCCCCAGGCACCTGGCTGGGCGGCATTGTTCATGATCCTGATGAGTCTTTCGGCCAGGAGGTGGTTGTAGGTGGTCTTCTCGGCCGCACTGGGTGCTGGGAGCTGGATTCGCTCTAGCTTTTCAGGATCCATGCCTGGAAGGGAGACAGCGACACCTTACCGAGAGCTCTCCTCATCCTGAAAGGCGCCTGCGAGCAGGGCTCCCCCAACCTCGGCCGTCCACGCTTCATCCCCACGATTTTTGCCACGACTGGGTGTTGCCTGAACTATACCTCACCTCTACCTCGGAATTTTCTGTAAATGGAACTTAGGGAAATATATTAAAACATACGTTTTCTATCACTATTTGTAAATGGGAAATCAGCATTGCTGCAATACTGACAGTAATTATGACACCAGAAAAAGAAAACCAAACGATGTTTTTGCAATTAAGCCAAAGACTGCTGATGGGCTATGCACTGTTGCCCCGAGGCCTGCTCTGTCTGTGTTAAAAAGGGAGCTTGGCAGGTACTTAGAAGGTGCTGAAGGCACCTGAGCTCCAAGGTGACACACTCCTGGACAAAATCACAGGGAATGGAAAAAGGTATAACTTTCACACAGTTTGCTTCACTGCCATTTTGTGCCATGTCTGGGTGCCCCCTGAGGCCACCCCTGTATGAGACACATGCCAGCCACAATGGGAAGTAGGGGGTGGGCGCAGACCTAGAGAAACAGAGAGCAGGCAGAAAGAAAACAACAGCCACCCCCAACATCACACCTCAAGCTCTGAACACCAAACACAGAGAGCTGGGCCCACCCCTCAACACACACTCCGGTGGCAGCAGGCGCCGTGCTGGGCCGGGAGTGGCAATGCAGGAAGAGAGCAGGCTAAACCTTATTGCAGAAAGGTGCAAGTGCTGTGAAACCCACGGAGGGGCTCTATCTCTAAGAGGCAAAGGAATCACTTTTTCTCCAGTGAAGAGTAAGAGCTTTTGAAAAGACAAAAGACAAGACGGGGGGAGCGGGATGGAAAGAGGAATGTGCAGAGTCTAACTGTGAACCGAGTATCGTTTCTCCTAGAGCAAAACCGGAGAGAGACTGGGGTGACAGGAACGCCTGTTAGCACCACTTCAACAGGGCAGGTGTGGGACGAGGCGTGTTCCAAATCCTTCTCCTCTCACCTAACATGGCTCTGGAAAAGGACGCCTGCACAAACAAACATTTCTCTTGAGCCAAGCTTGGAGAGCTGAACAGATTGTTTGTGCTCGAAGCACGTCTCTTCCTGTTATTCCACAAAAGGGGGGAAGGTGGCACTTCTGGGAACTCTTGAAATACGGCCCCTTGAGTACTAGATGACGCTTCATTTAGAACCTTGACAAAATAGTGGAAGATAGTGCTGAAGCGCTGATTGTCTGGATTGTAAGTAACTCCCCCACGCACATTGACGTCAGAAACCATAACAATATATCTTGTTTTACTGAATTCCTTCCAGCTCCAAACCAGAGGCTAAGTCATGCCAAGGAGATGACACGGGTGAGAGACAGCCTGAGGGGCCCGGGTTGCGTAGTTCTCGCTCATGCCCCACCACTGCGGCTTCCGTCAAAACATTTGATTGCAGTGAAAATCTAATTTGTGGATTCTGTATCTCATTTTGATGTGAAATGTCTAACTTTGAAGGATTCTGGTTTATTAAACGGCAAGAAGTACACCAATTGAATCCTTTTGGCATTTGTTTTTCTTTCCAGAGATGTCAACACCGTCCTAACATCTCTCTATCTTTTCGTTTCTGGCCCTTTGAGAACTGTCAGTTAGTGGTCCGGGGGGGGAACATGGCTGCTCGGACTGCTCGGCGCATCATCCAACTTCATGACCTGACCATCTATCATCCCACTTCAAAGGGGATGGACGGCAGAAGGAGCCCAGCTCCCCTGGGAACGTGGCGGTGGCCGGCAGAACCAGGGGGAGACACCGGCTCGGACCAGCACTTGAATTTCTATGGTGAGCTCCACTGTGTCTCTTTCCCGTTATTGCCCCCAAAAAACCTCGTAAAATTTGTCAAAAAATGACGAATCTGCAGCAAAATCTTCTCTCGACAGGAAAAGCAACACTCCAAGGTTATCCTGACCTTTCTCAACTGGCAGCTCTGCTCTCTGTGAAGGGGGGCAGGGGATCCCGCGGGACTGAAACACTTCCAGAACCTCACGGGGCCAGGCTCCAGGGCAACCTCTTCCTTTCGTGAGGACACTAAGGCCCAGAGATGTTAAGTCACAACCCCAAGGTCACAGAGCAAGTTAGAACCAGGATGATTACAAAGGTGGGGGGGTCCAGATGGGGAGGGGGTGGTACCACCTGCACCGAGAGCCAACCACGGCAAGCAGTGTACCAGGGGTCTGCCTCTGTGCTGACGACAGGGCCTCACTGTGTCCTGGGGCTCGCTCTCTCCAGGGTCCTTTCCACACTGTGGTCAGGTGGAGGTGGAGAGAGCTGGGTGCAGGGTGCAGAAGGAATTCTGTTTTGATACTCAACCTCTTGGACCCTCAGTCTCCTTTCCTGTGCAATGGGGATAATTACAGTGACTGTCTGTCCCAGGGCTGCTGTCAGGATCCAGGAGGAGCATGCCGCTAACCACGGATGCGGAGTTCTACTTTAAGCACGGCATAATGTATTTTGGTATCGTTTGTATTAAAAGAATGAAAGGACAAAATGACAAAAAAGGAAAACAACCTAACAAAAGCTGAACTCAAGCTATTTTAGAAGACCCCAAGAAGGCACGCTGCGCTGTTTGGGGGCCAGCTCGGAGGCAAGCTGCTCAGTGTGGATTCTGAGGGATGAGTGGGAATTTGCCTTAAGCTGCACAGGAGGAGGGGGGACTGCAGGAGTGTGGCAGAGCTGGGAAGGGCGGGGTGAGGGGCTTTGGGAGGAAGTGATGAGGCAGACGTGGGGAGTGGGGCGGAACAGGCAAGGCTTGGATGCCAGGACCCCTGGAGGGCAGCTAGGGGAGGTGACATGATCCGGTTGTGTCCTGGCTGACTCTGAAGTGCTCTCCATTCCCCCGGCCACCACGCTTCCAGTGCTTCCTCACACACAGACGTGGTATTGTAACGCATTCTATGTGACGTGGTTTTTACCACCAGCCACGGGGAGACAGAGCAGGGTCGATTCCATACAACATACGGCAAAACCTCGTAAAAAAACCCTCTGAACATCTCCATTCTTTCCCCAAAGTTCCTCCAGGGCCAGGTGCCTCCTCCTTCCCTCCCACGTCTCTCTCTCTCTCCCTGCCATGGCCTCTGAAGCCCCCTCTGTTAGGCTGAATCAGCCCGCCTTCGTCCTTGGCTTTCAAGGCCTGTGCAGCAATTCAAAAGCTCCAGACATTCTTCTGGTCCAAACAAAATGGTGGCTGGCAGTTGTGAAGGAACAAGGTCAATGTCACAATATGATAAGGAGATGCATGTGAAAGGGAAAATGGCACATGGGTACGTACATGCACACACACACACACACACACACACACACACACACACACACAGGTTTCAGTCACTGCAAGGCAGGCTTTGTTGAAAACTTGATCAAGTTTCCTGGCTAGCCATTCATTTCCCTTTGACTGAAACAAACACTGTGGAGAATCTATTGTCCTATGTACTTCAACTCTTAAGTGCCAAGGTACAGACCAATTCCTAAGAAACGCAGATGCACTTCACATGGCCCGGGGACAACGCTGTCACGCTCAGGCTCCCAGCACACCACATGCTTCCTTGGTCCCTCGGCCTCAGCCGGCCTGAATGAGTCAGAACGGATCTTCCCTTCCCAGGGCTTCTACCCCAACAACCTCAGGGCTGGGGTGGAACTCCCAACTGACGAATTCAAAGACTCCAGCAGAGAAGGGAGGGGTGTGGCTCCATGTCAGTAACCAGTTACTAAGCTTCCCCTCTAAATTCTAATTTCTGGATTCTTCCTTCTTTGTGGTAGTTTCCATTCAGGAAAGGGGTGGAGAAGACCCAGAGTAAAGTTACATAAAAAGAAGTAGACAGTCAAACCTGGAAAAAGAGACCACAATAATGCTAGGTAAATAATAGTCAAAATATTTTTTTTTCTTTTGACCATGCAAGGTTTCCTTGGCTGTAGTCACGCAAGCGTTGGCAGTTTTGCAAAAACTATAGACCAACTATTTCAAAACCTACCCAGATGTTGGGCTGATTTCCAGTGTACTTCCAGCTCTGATTATGTTTCAGTCGAGATCCAAAATGATGTTTTGCCAGCTCTCTGCATGGTGAAAGCCTCCCTGTATCCTATTACCTTTCAACTTTTCCCATACCTTTCATCCACATGCCAGTAACTTCTTAGCAAAACAAAACAAAACAAGCCCAAGATTCCTCTTGGGTAAACAAGGATAAACGGAGGGGCAGGAGTAGTAGGGTGGTGGGTGGAGTGGGGAAACTTTAAGAGAATACAAAAGCTGCAACAGTCGCTCCCTCCTCCCCCTTGGGCCGGGGTTCTGCAGACCTGACAAAGGACAGAGGCTGCATATTCTATTACAGATATGAACCAGAATTCATTATGGGGCCCAATTGAATCAGGGCGAGCGCCCTCCTCCAACCGGTCAACCCTTCCCACTGTGGGATATTCATTTTGGTGCAGCATCTAATCTATTATGATTTACTGGAAGGCCTGAGCTAACATTTGGTTTTTATTAACATTGCTTTTATGTTAAAATTGTCTTATGATGAAAAATCTATCAGAAAGAGACCATTTCATTAGGGGGCCTGCTTGGAGGGTACGGATCTCGACAAGAGAGGCTGAAGGTTAAGTGAAGCTAACTGCCTGCTGCCTAACCCAAAAACCAGCCAACCAACAACCAACTCACAGCAAATGCAGACCCTGTGCCCACAGGCCAGGACCATCAGACAGCACCCCGACCAGGCAGTTCGCCCTGGGCGTCTCCCGGGCACCCAGACCTCCGGGTGCCAAACTTGAACTCTCTAGCCCCCTCTCCAAACCTGCTCCATGGCCCACACTCACTGGCTCTAGAAACAGCACCACCAGCCGCACAGGGGCAGGAGTCAGGGATCTGGGCATCACCCAGGCTTCTGTCCCCCTTAGGGCCCCCTCCCCTGCAAATCAGGCAAAGCTCCCCCTCCCTGGCCGGGCTCCTCTC